TCCCTACGAGATCGATCAAGGTTAAGCGGGAAGCCTCGCGTCACTCGTATTGAAGCTACCGAACTAAAAATAAAGATCGTAAAATAAACTATCGCTTCTTCTCTTTCTTCTTCACCATTCTCTTCCCGATTCTTCCAAAGAGCTCTAAGGGACGACAACGCTCGCACTGGCGAGGGCGACCCGTTCATGGTTGTACCACGTGATCTTTACATAGGGCGCCTCTGATAGAGCTCCTAAAACAATCAGGAAGCAGTCATGTAAAAATCGCGAACCTATTTCGGCCGTTGCATCTACTACGCTCGCTCATCGGAGCCGAGGCTCCACCCCGCGCGCTTTCCTCCTCACTGTGAGCCCCGCTCGCGATCTTCTATCGGCGTCCGCCAAATTAGAACAGGACGTGACATTATATTTAAAATTAATTATATTTATAATTAAATTAATCATTTAATTATAAATTGTGACATTTAATTATAGAATACAGTAGGATAATCGTTAAAAGAAATCCTCGTTCGGACAATCTTATTTTTTATTAAATTATGGACTGAGCTGGATTCTCGATAACAACCGAAGGATTAGTAAAACACACTTATACAATTTAACACATTTATACTTCTAAACCTCTGATTAGATACTTTTTTCGATCTTTAATATTCTAACGCTGGAATAAGTATGTAAAATTAAATTAGAGCGATAATTTTATTATGTATTACAGTGTAAGTTGACTTTGTAAAGGGTTATATAGAAATGTTATTAATTATTATCACTGAAGAAGACTTTGTAAGTCGAAATTGATGAATTTTGTAGCCGTGTGCGTATGCAATTAAAAAACAAATTTTATTTTATTTTTTGAGTTAATTGTAATTGCTCGTTTAAAAACTGCCTTGACATATTGATTATATTGCATGTACCTAGTTTTCTATAATTCCAATATACTGCTTTACTCACTTTCTTTACCGGTGACACCTACAATTAGGATTAAGATTTTACTAAATTGATTTAATAATAAAACTTGATAATGAAATAATTTTACGATGAATATTTAGTAAAATTTCCTCTTTACACAGCCAGTCCCAAATGACCTCCGAGTGATCTTAACTTTGATCTTGACCTTGAGAAGCTCTTAAGAAGCTCAAGGTCATTGATCTTTTCTGTCACTCGTTAGTCATTAAAAAGTTATTAATAAAAACGTTTTTATAAATAGGACACTTTTTCAACATAACAGACATATTCCAACATAAAGAATGTATTACATTTTATTTATTTCCTATTTTAAAAACAAAAATTCTCTGCTTTAAAATAGATTGTTTACTTTAAAAACATAAATTCTCTACTATAAAATAGATTTTCTGTTTTAAAAACAAAAATTGTCTGTTTTAAAATAGATTTCTTGCTTTAAAAACAAAAAATCTATGCTTTTAAATAGATGCTCTGCTTCAAAAACAAAAATTCTCTACTTTAAAATAGATTTCCTGCTTTAAAAACAAAAAATGTCTATTTTTAAATAGATTTTTTGCTTTAAAAACAAAAAATCTATGTTTTAAAACAGATTTCTTGCTTTAAAAACAAAAATTCTTTGCTTTTAAATAGATTTCTTGCTATAAAAACAAAAATTCTCTGTAAACAATAAAAACAACTGTTTTTAAATCAGGAAATCTATTTTAAAGTAGAGATTTTTTGTTTTCAAAGCAGGAAATTTAGTGTATGTTATGTTGAAAGTGTCCTACTCATAAAAACGTTTTTATTTATATCTTTTTAATGAATAACGAGCGACGGAAAATGATCTTGATCTTCTTAAATCAAAGTTAAGATCAAGATCACTCGGAGGTCATTTGGAACTGGCTGTGTAAAGGGGAAGTTTTACTTAATACTTTTTATTTGTGTGACTCTTTATTTTACTGATTTGATACAATATTATGATTTTTTAAATTTTCAGTTCAACTTCGATTATGTGTTGATGAGAAACGGAAAACAGTAGTCTTGATTAGTCGATATCTAGATTTTTCCTTCGATTTATTATGCAACAACATCAGCATTAAAGATTGAAAAAGATTTATATGTCGGACTCCTCCATATAAACTAATTTAAATGTGAAACGACACAATCAGAAAGCAGAAATGTTTAATATGATCGCGATGAGAGTGTTCTTACTCTGCACGATTTTGGTTACCTCACAGATTCTTGGAATTTGGTGCTACTTTGCAAAATCGTCAATAATTCGATTATGATCTGTGCGACAAGGATACGTATCTGATCTTACTCCAAATCAAGTTATCGTCTGAGGTATCACCACGAGGTCCAAAAGAGATTTACCTTTTGCAAAGACAAATTTCGTGAAAGACAAATTTGGATTCCAAAGTGTGACTGGGAGAATCTTTCCGAATGCAAAAGAAATGGCGTTGGTGAATTTCAGTTTGCCATATCAGTCGGTTACGATGGCACCGTTTCTTTACGCGGGCTCAACCGAGGGCTACACGACCGCCCACAGTTTTCATTTGAACACCATGTTACCATCGGGATCTACGATCGGTTATGATGAACAAGAAAGCTTTCATAATGAGCCCTATACTCCACCGATCAAGTACCATCAACATCAACGTAGTCAATCTACACAGCAGAAGAATCATGAGATTTATATGGAACACACGTCCTTTTCGACACAAGATACCCTTTACAATATGTATAACCAGGATCTTAGAAGGACGCGATCAAGGCAGCAACAACAACAAATAAGACCGCCATCGCTTCCCTCATCATTTCATTATCAACAATTGCCTAAACACATCAAAACTCGAATAGAAGATCAACAAAATCAGCCAGAAAGACCTATCGGGTAAATGCAAATTTCTTTTCTTTTTCTTTTTATTTATATTTTTTTATTTTATTTATATTTCTTTTTATTTATATTCTTATCTCTCGTAATATTATACAACTTTAACTAATAATAAAATATCATTTAATAAAATATCTTTAATTTAGATCAAAGCTAATGTTAAATATTCTTAAAATATTCGTAAAATGTTTCTAAAATCCTAAAATAGTATTCTAAGAATATCCCGAAATATTTTAAGAAAAAGTAAAGTAAGTCTTCTTGAAGCTTCCACGGGTACTTTCTATATAAAAGTTATGTGTTTCGCGAGTTTCCTCCGTGTCCAGATTCATTCTTGCAATGCCAACGTTTCGTGAACCTTGCAGTCCACTTCATCAAGGCGAAGAGAGAGTATCAGGCTGCTCTTCGCCCATAATAATTACATATAATATAATACATACACAAACATTTTGATCTAAACGCGAGGTCATTTTCAATGTTAATAAATAAGTATTGAAATTGGCATGAAAACTTTGTTGATTCGAAATATTCTTACTTATTGCAAAGATTAATGGCCTATATCAAAAACTGCAGCCTCTTGTGTCATATTGTAAAAATGTTTTTTATAATTTAGGAATATGATAAAAAAACACAATGCGTTAGTCATGGTCATCCTGCCATTGAATATGATAATAATGGAATGGAACTTGGTGTAATGTAACCATATCTGTTATCACAAAATGAATAAAAGTTATCAATCAGCTTATGAACTGAAATGGTCAACAGATTTATTAATGAAGATTCTTACAGACGTGATTATAAAATTATACATGATACAATGTTTTAACGAGTGCGAGCATGGCGTAGCAGGCAGTGCACGATACTGCTATCCCAGAGATCCCGGGCAGAATCGAAAAATAAATCTGAAAAAAGTTTCCGAATAAATCGTCATTCAGAATCGACTAATAAACCGTAGGTCCCATATGACTATGTCATACAACCAGTGTCCGTATCACAGGCATATGAGAGAAGTTATCACGCTCGGTCACAAGGAATATATAATCAATAGGATTGAGAAATAGGCAATGTTTTAACATCAATTTGCTGAGGATGGTCCAAATTACGAGCCGAAATATTCAAGTCATTTAAGTTATTAAATATTACATTGTATGTAAGATAATTAATTTTAATATTTGACACTGCGCAATTACTTCTTGCGATGAATTGCTCCAATTGCTTTTTTTATCACGATTTATTATTATATTAATAGGAGTCCATCAATTTATTGTTCTTATTGTATATAATTTATTAATAAAGATAAACTAATTTTTAACATATCAATAAAAAAATATCAATATATGAAATATAGACGTTTCGGCTACATGGAGCCTTCCTCAGTATAATTAAATGAACTTATCTCTTTCACTTAACAACTGTTTTAAATAAAAAAAATTCCGTCAATTTATTGATGATAATTGATGGTAAATCATGTCAATTTTTCAAAAGATGTTCATAGTTAAAAAATGCAAAACAAATTACTCGTTTAATAGTGGGAATTACAGTACTGGACAAAATAAATCATACATCTTAAAGAAATTGAATTTGTTTGTGTAACTATTTTTTTAACAAGCAAATAAATTATTGGATAAGAAAATCAAAGCATTTGAAAGTATTTAAATAAAGAAAATGTGAAATAATTAAAATTGTGCTCAATTCCTTTGTAAAAAATTTATTTTTCAATATTGATACACCTTTTACCCTGGACAAAATAAATCATACACTTTTAGAAATATTATACAATATATAGAAATATTAATAATAAGTAACAAATAAATAAAATTAATTTTAATGGTGCTTGGTACTTGGTGTGCCCGCCCTTTGTTTTTAATACTGCTTCCAGTCGACGAGGCACACTTTCGACTAATTTCTTCAAATACTCAGGATCAATTTTATTCCAGGTCTTCTGGAGTACTGTATAATACGATATCTTGTCAGTTACATTTGTTTCATTCACGTTTTCATTTAAATAAACCCACAGATTTTCAATTGGGTTTATATCTGGTGATTGTGGCGGCCATTCGAGCAGTTTTATTTTATTAGATTTGAAAAAGGCAGTGGTTTTTTTTGCCTTATGCTTCGGATCGTTATCTTGTTGGAAGATAAAGTTATTTTTTAAATATAATTTCCAAAAGAGATTCTTTTAAATTCTCGCACAGTACATCAATGTATCCTTCTGCCATCATAATTCCTTTAATTTGAGTCAAATTACCGACACCAGACCAGGCGAAGCACCCCCATATCATAATATTACCACCTCATCAATAAAATAAATAAGAAAAAAAGATTCAAATTTGCCAAAAAATACGTGAATATGCCTCTAGATTTTTGGAAAAAAGTATTATGGTCGGATGAGAGCACATTTGAATTATTCGGACAAAAACGACGGTCTAAGATATGGCGAAAAACTGGTGAAGCTCTCAAAGAAGTAAATATTCAAAAGACTATAAAATATGGAAGTGGTAATATTATGATATGGGGGTGCTTCGCCTGGTCTAGTAACAATATTAAATACTTTAATAAAACATCTCATATTGTTCGTCTATTTGGTCGTTTGGAACTGAATTTTGCTATGCAAACTTCGAACGCTTCTTATTTATATTCTTGTTTGTAAACTAATTGTTAGAAAATGTAATTAAAACGTCATAAAATAGAAAAAATAAAAAAAAGAAAATAAAAAGAAAATTTTTTTAGAAAATACATTTTAGAAAAAATTAATAAAGAAGAAAATATACCTCTTTGGTAGCAGTGAGCATGATCTTCATATGTTATAATACACTACTCGCAGAAATCGAAGCACCACTTCTCACGTCTTCGAAAAATGAGTAAACTTTAAATGAGTTAACTTCTACATATATGGTCAGAATGAGACGTATAGAAAAGCATTTTGTAGCTGGAAATCTCTATTTATCATATCTTTAAATAACGATATGACTGACGATTTTTACGGAGCTTCACGATTACAAACAATATCTATAGAGTTTCAAATTTTTTTGTGAACTTTGTGAAGTTATGCAGTAAATGAAAAGTTGGGCACAAATACTGTTTACAGCTTCCGAAAACATGAATTTAATTTGATTTTTTGATGAACATTGTGCGACTTTTTTTTACCGAGTTATTCAACATTGAATAGAAAATGGTTCTTTTGACTTTGACTATTCATAAAAGACGAACGGAGTAACGTATAGTATACGTTAAAAAAGAAAAAAAATTCAAAGTTTTCACTTTAGATGTTCGTATCATTTCTTAGACACAAATAAGCTTTTTAAAAAAGCACAAATAAGCTTTTTAAAAAACTTAAGTGAAAGATAAAGTTAAAAATTGAGACAATTATCTGTTTCTATTCAACACGCTCTACTCCGATCAAAAAGAGAGAGAAATCTTACGATGTTAACGTAATTTTAAATTTTAAAGTCTACTGATTTCAACGGAAAAAAATAGTTGTGACATTTTTAAATTAATGTTATTTTCATGTTTAAAGTTACGACTTTGGACAAAACGGCAATCACTGTATTCATCCTAATCTTATGTCGCAGTAGACATTAACGTTACTCAAAGCGTACCACATGGAGATTGCACAGTCGGATTTATGAATCATTTGTGTGTGTGTGTGTGTGTGTGTGTGTGCGCGTGCGTGCGTGCGTGAGTAAGTATATAACAAAATTAAATTTTTAGTATAAAGAATTTTTAATATTGCTGCCTCTATTTTGAAACACTGTCTTACATTACAAACATTCTATGCATTTAATATATGTAGAAACGTTTTAAATACTTCTTAGATTTGTTAGATCTTTGCGCATTGCTTTAGCGTTTTAATCATTTTTTTTGGGAACATTTTCTTAAAATTTTTGTATATATAATGATGCTACAACATCTTGCTGAATACGGTACGATATGCATTGTCACACTGTTACAAGAAGGCTACAGCCAATGATATTATATTATATATTACAAACTTAATAAGAATTAATCAGTCTGTTAAAAATTTAGTCTTGTATGATTTACACACACGCGCGCGCGCGCGCGCGCGCGCACACACACACACACACACACACACACACACACACACACACACACACACACACACACAAAAGAATAAATAAAAGCATAAATCCGACTGTGTAAACTTCATGTGGTACACTTCGAGTAACGCTAATGTGTATTGCGATTTAAGATTAGAATGAACACAGCAATTGCCGTTTTGCCCAAAGTCATAACTTTGAACAAAAAAATAACATTAATTAAAAAATGTCACAACTATTTTCTTCTACTATTTTTTCTCGTTGAAGTCAATAGACTCTAAAGTTTAAAATTACGTTACCATTGTAGGGTTTCTCTCTCTTTTTGATCGGAGTAGAGCGTGTTGAATAGAAATAGATAATTGTCTCAATTTTTAACTTTATCTTTCACTTAAGTTTACATAAAAAGTCTTATTTGTGTCTAAGCAATGATACAAACATCTGAAGAGAAAATTTTGAATTTTTTTTCTTTTTCACTGTATACTATACGTTACTCCGTTCTTCTTTTATGAGCAGTCAAAGTCAAAAGAACCATTTTCAATTCAATGTTGACTCGGTAAAAAAAAGTCGCACAATGTTCATCAAAAAAGCAATTTAAAGGTTCATGGTTTCGAAAGTTGTAAACAGTATTTGTGCCCGACTTCTCATTTACTGCATAACTTCACAAAGTTCACAAAAAATTTTGAAACTCTATGGATCATTGTTTGTAATTGTGAAACTCCGGAAAAATCGTCAGTCATATTGTTATTTAAAGATCTGAAAAGTAGAAATTTCCAGTTATAAAATGCTTTTCTGTAAATCTCATTAGACCATATATGCAGAAGTTGCACTCATCTAAAGTGTTCTTATTTTAAGTGTTTTTATATGACTAATTTTTCTACTTAAATTAAATTTTATCATTTTATACGGTTAACTCTCTAATTTTTTGTAATAACATTTAAATTAAGCAAGATAACGTAATTTTGCGATAATGCTTTATATATTATTTTGAAGGAGAATTAAATAACTACTATTTTAGTTGGAAAAAAATGTCTTTGAATGAATTGTGGTATAATAATTTTATTTAAGAGGAATTTAAACCATTTGTGGATTGGAATAGGAAGATCCTTCAATAAGATATACGTATACTTGTGTTTTATTGTATAAAAAGATAGTTCCATTTGGATTAAGTAAATAATAAAGATCACTTGGTTTTACTTTTTATTTTGATAGTAGAATTTAACTTGGCGCCACATTTGTTGATATCAAATTTTTTATACAAATGATATATATCATTAGATTAATATTCATTATTTATTTAATTTAGCATAGTAAAGAAATGGAATTTAACTACGCGCTAGTTCTTGATATTAAATCCTTTATAAGAATGATACATATTATTAAAGTTAATATTATTTATTTAGTTTGGTATTCGAATTATATGGAATTTAACTTAACGCCAATTGTTCATATCAAATCTTTTTTACGAATAATATATAAAATTTTGAGGAATTTAACTTGACGCCAATTTTATTGATATTAAATCTTTTATATAAATGATACATATGATTAGAGTTAAGTAAATAACAAGAGATAATATTATTTGTGTTTTACTTTTTAATTTGATAGAATTTAACTTGATTGTTTAAGATTATAGCATCTGGATTTTAATTTTTCATTTGATACATTAATTTTTTTCAAAGAGTAATAATTTTTGACAGAGAATTAAAATTGCCATATTTGGGTTGAATAAGAAGACTTTTAATAAAAATATCCTTGAAAAAAAATGAAAACTACTATTTTAATTGGGTTGAATATAAGAATATTCTTAATAAATATATACTTCCATCTCTTGGTTAATTTGCAGCATCGCTTGTGTCTAACAGATTGATAACTCGCCACTGGTAATGATAATAATGGCAGCAACTTTTTACCAGAGGATCAAAATGCCGCTTATGCGGTGAAAAATAACACGCCACTATCGTCTCCAGATATAATATACTTATTATGTGTAAATGCGCGTTTGAAATCGGTCATACTTTCCAAAATCTAAAAATTTAATTCCCGCCCACGAGAAACATGAGAGGTCGGAGAGAAGAGTAAAGAGAATGGCGACTAGAGAATCTCGAAAGAAGAGAGTAGCAAACTGCATCACGTGACCCATCTCTTCTGATTCTCTGATTAGGAGCGGTCATCAAAGCTCCATAGGCATGGAAGTGGAAGAGATTGGAGAAAACTAATCATGTGATCCTTGTCCTGATTGGACGCTGTTATTCACGTGATGCAATTTGCTACTCTCTCATAGCCAGTTTATAATCGGTTCTTATTTTAACCGTCTTAAGCCGGTTCTACATTAGTTGCAAGCTGATCGCAAGTTTGTTGCGACAGTTAATATGAAACGTTGATTTCAAAATCCAAGTTTCAGATTGACTGTCGCAACAAACTTGCGATCAGCTTGCAACTAATGTAGAACCGGCTTTAAGTAATGTTTTAAGTCGTTAATGCGGTCTTCTAATTGATTCATGACATACTTAAGATTAAATATAAGATCCATCTATGAATACCGGCCATGTGTGGTGCGCTCAGTTGGACGGTATCTCTCTCTAAATCTCCGCCGTTTCTGTCTATAGCCTTGTGCCTACGATGCTAAAAATCGGTCCGAGACCTCGGATAAAGAAAGAATTGACCAATCACAATGGTCGTATCAAATGATTTATTAATTCCTTCTCTGTCTGAGATCTCGGACCGATTTCTAGAGCCGTTTCACCAATGCCGTTTATAATTAATTGGCGTTGATGAAACTGGCCCCTAGCATCATAAACATTGGGCTTAAGAATAGAAATTGATGAATATCAAACGTCATTTGATTTTGACACTGAAAATGAGCATCGAGCGTCAGCATGAAAAGGCCTTTATGAATGTCGCATAAGAGACAAAAGCCAATTTGAAACGCGAGATTTATTTTGAAAAGTTGGCATACTCAGGATTAGTTTTAACTTTCAACGCCAGTTAGCTTAATCGGCCGTTGACTGATCAATCGCCTTTGCTATTAGTAGAATCGATCAATTGCGGTTGACAGTTAATTAAGATTAAGCTTGATCGGTGTTAGTGAAATCGGCCTTCAATCTTTCCTTGTCTGACATACTTTATAACGCATTTTATAATTAATTTCTCTTTCTAACTTTCATAATTTATGTCTTAAATTAAATATTGAATAAAGAATTAAATGAACAATCACAGTGTCAGTAGCCAATATAGAATAAGTAAAATGATATCACCAACGCAGTAAATACCATATTGTTAACTAATTGTAAGTTAGGAAATGATAATGACAAAGCGATTTATTCGATCTCGATCATTTGTTTATAATTTATTATTTAATAAAAAGAGATCGAACGAAAATGTAATTATACACTACATTTGTTAATTAAGCCAGAAGATGATGACGATTTATACGCTGGTAATTGTTAATTAAGCTAAGAAATAATAATGAAAAGGTAATTTATTTCTATTTGTTTATAAAATAATTAGATTAATAATTATCGGTGTATAATTTCGTTTTCATCCAATGTCCTTTTGTTAAATATTGAGTTATAAACAAATGGAGATCGAATAAATTGCTTTGTCAGTATCATTTTCTAGCTTAATTAACAAATACCAGCGTATAATTCCATTTTCGTTTGATCTTCTTTTGTTAAATATTAATTATAAATAAATAGAAATAAATCGATTTTTCATTATTATTTTCTAGCTTAGTTAACAAATACCAATGAATAATTTCATTTCTATTTAATCTTTTTTTGTTAAATATTAAGTTATAAACAAATGGAGGTCGAGATTGAAGAAATCGCTTTTTAAATAATATTTCCTAGTTTTTAGCATTACTAGCGTATTTTATTATTATACTGATTTTACCGATCCTGTTTCGAAAAAACCGACCGAGATTTATTGTAGTATTCACGCCATGCTTAGCGCCACGACACTGTCGTGTCTCCAGATGTCTTTAGATCGCAGCGCTCCTTCGTAAAGCATGTCAAAAGGACACGAAACTACCGCTTATGTAAATAATGTTAGAAGGACACGAAACGAATATGTGGAATGCGGTCGACGATGACGACGTATCTTAATCTGAAAAAGTGACAGTTCGGAACTTTGCGTCGTGATATCTCCGCTTGTAGAGTACGTACAGAAAAAATAAAAACACTTTTATTATAAACTTGATAATAAGGAATATTAGAACGAGGAATATAAACGATATTAAATATTACTTTGTGACTAATAAATATACAGAACCTGCGAATAATACTGCTAATTTATATACCTGTAAAAAATTTGTTTTCTATAATTCTAATTCGAATGATATTGATGAATTGATTGAAACCAATTTAATTGCTTCCAATTATAAATATTTTACATATAAAATTACCGAGACAAATGATCATTGGTTTAAAAATGTCAGTAGTATTTTAATACCTAAAGAAGTACAGTCATTATTGCAATTAGATGAAAATTTTTGTCTTCCTAATTATAATATAATAAATACTACTATTGACTTTGTTAAACACTTTGTTGAATATAATTTTATGAAACTTAAAATCCCTAAAATTACTGAAATGAGGAATAAAATATTTCCGTTATTAAAAAACATAAAGCATGTTTTTAAACGTACCAATATTGAAAATGACATACTATCTCTCCTTGCATCAACAAAAACTTTTTTAAATGACAATCCTAACATTATTTTCACACGAGCGAACAAAGGCAATGTAGTTGTGGCACTAAATAAACATGAGTATATACATAAAATAGAATTGTTATTTGCAGACTCTAATATTTATGAAAATTTAAGACGTAATCCAGTAAATAAAATTATTACTGAATTAAAATTATTATTGAAGGATTGGAAGAATTACGGATACCTTTTGGACTATAATTATAATAATTTAAATTGTACTACACCAATCTTACTACTAGTTTATCTAAGATCCACAAAATTGGATGTCCGTTGAGGGTTATAGTTTCATCGATTGGAAGTCCACTCCATAATTTAGCATCTTTCCTACATAAGATCATTAATAAGAGTTTACCTCTAGCAAACAACTCTACAGTTAATAGCTATTTTTTGACTAAAAAAATCTCAAATTTGACATTTTTTACTGAAGCTTTTCTTTTATCTTTGGACGTAATATCACTCTTACTAACGTATTGTGGATCTAGTTCTTGATGGAATATCCAATAGATGGTACCTTATAGAAAAAAATACTGACATCTCAAAAACAGAATTTTTTAAAGCATTAAAATTAGTTGTTAATTCCACTTTTTTTTATATTTAATGAGAAATTTTATAGACAAACCTTTGGTTTACCCATGGGTTCTCCACTATCTCCTATACTTGCTGATTTAGTCATGCAGGACTTAATTAGTTTCGTTAAATAAGCTTTCTGAGACACCACTGTTTTATGTAAGATATGTTGATGACATTGCTTTAGCTATTGACAATGCTCGTATTGATCAGATTCTTATTAAATTCAATTCTTACCACCCAAGACTACAATTTACAGTGGAAATTGGTAAAGACTCATTAAATTTCTTGGACATTTGCTTGATAAAAAAAGAGACTCTTATTTTTGATTAGTATCGTAAACCTACATTTTCTTAATTATTTCTCATAGCATCCTCTCTGTCAAAAAATTGGCACGATTATTGGTTTGATTGATAGAATTTTATTACTTTCTCATCCAAGTTTTCATAAAAAAAATTTTGACTTATAAAGTTATAAAAATCCTTCTGAATAATGGTTATCCTCTAAGTTAGATATTTTTAATTATCAAAAAAAGACTTTACAAAAAAATTTGATCTCTTTAATCGTGTTGATAATTTTGTTATTAATAAACAATTGACAACCCAAGAAGATATCAATAATAAAAAATTTTTCTGTATACCATTTATTCTTAATATTTCTAAAAAAATCGGTATGCTCTTAAAAAAATGTACCATTTTTACGTATGGCTTATAGAGGCATAAATAAGGTCAATAGATTTATCAAAGTTCAGAAAAATGCTACCTTAATCTTCTCAATCTAATTTAGTATATAAGATTGACTATAAAGACTGTGATGCATCATATGTTGGATAGACAAGCAGATACCTAAAAATGCGCATAAGTGACAACATTTGATTATCACACAACATCGGATAGATTTATTTGATGAATTTGATTGCAATAACGTACATATTTTAGCAAAGAGCAAATTTTACATAAAAGATTGTTATCAGAGATGATACATATTAAAAAACAAAAACAAGGTCTAAATTTACAAAACAATACACTTTCTTTCGATTCGTTATATATAGAACTATTTTCAGATACGTAATGCTTTCAATCTATATCGTTTATACTTGGATTTATATTTTTACTTATTGTTTTTGTAAGTACATGTTCTGTTACCCACTGTTTCTTTTAATTTTCATTTTACATCTGTCTACCAAACAGTTATGTCGTGTCTAATATTTTTAAATTTTGTTTCATGTAAGTAAACTAAAGTTGGATTTTTACTGTTATTTATATTAACTTTTTAATTTATTCACATTTATATTACATAGTAAATGGAACAGTTTAATGAAACATGTACAACAAATCTTATAAAAACAGTTTAATCTTGGCAGTCATGTAAGTTTTTTTTTTACCATTTTTACGCCTATATCTTATGTTAGCATTTTTTAAATTATTTTTAACCTTTTGGTCGATCATTTTTAAAACAAAATATTTTTCTTTTTAGTTAACTTAACAATTTAATGACCAAGATTAACTCGGATATCGCTATTACGGTTTTTTTCGCATTTTGTATGTTATTAGTTTATGTGCTATCTCGTATGTGCTATCATTATGTAATTTTGTTAATATATTTTTTTGTACTGAAGAGGACCTTTGACCGTAGGTCGAAACGTATACGTTTAATATTCACTTTGAATAAATGGTAAAAATACATACTAATAAAAAATTCTCCAGATAGAACTGAATGACGCGTATAGACAGACAGATTTTTACAGAAGGTCTTTCTTCCGTGTGGTGAGCGGACTTTATCGTTGTCTTCCTACAAGGATTCTCGATTGGTTTCTGGATACACAGGAAAAATCCTGTAATGTGCTTTTCCGAAAAGAAAGAGAGAGATTAAATCACAAACTCTTATGGCTGTGTGATAAAAAGGAAGCACAGACCATAACCAGAATCAAACCTATTTTATATGAATGTGATACAGGCATACGTGCTGGCCCAACATCCGTGCACAAGGACACATCGAATGTCAACAATCCTTCACTTACGTTATCTCCTAGCAACTTGATATCCATACATCCCAGTTCCTTCACCTCACACAGATCTTCGTCCCTGACCACTGTCCGAAACGGGTGGTTCCTCAACCTATCCTCTGTGTCCATTCCAACAGACATACAGTGTTTCCTACAACTAGGTGAGAACTTCGCTCTTCCACTAAACGATAAACGTAAGATTATTTTCGATTGCATTAAGAGTGTTGAAACTGGTGTGCATCGCATGCCGATCGAAAATAGGATCGCGATCACCAACCACTCCATTCCAATTCTTAACGGCATCATTTCCTCTCCAATCACAACATCTCCGATTGATAAATTATTGTTAAGAATGGAATCGAAGACACGCGCCTTTTTGTCGGAGCATACCAATGTCCTTTTCACACACGCAGATAAGGGCAATGTCACAGTCGCTTTAGACAGAGAGGTCTACATGGAAAAGATGATCACTCTGCTGAATGACAAGGACACATACTCTCTTATCAATAAAGATCCCATCAGGAAAATCACGACAGCGATAAGGTCCATGCTCACCAGATGGAAGACGAAGAAGTATATTAGCGAAACAAAATACAAGACCTTATATTGTAGTGACGGATCACTTCCGAGAGCTTATGGTGTGCCGAAAATACATAAACCTTGTTGCCCTTTGAGGGTCATTGTCTCTTCGTTGGGCAGTCCGCTCTATCCACTGGCGACATTCTTACACAATATATTAATTAAATCCATTCCTAAAGCAAAGAGTCATATAAAAAATAGTTTCGAACTTGTTGAGAAACTAAAAAGATTACACACTACAGACCAATATAAATTAATCTCACTGGACGTAAAATCTCTGTTCACGAATGTTCCGGTGGATATAGCCATAGACTGCATCAATGAACATTGGATGTATGTTGCCGGAGACTGTCCTCTACCTAGGGAGGAGTTTGTGGGGGCAATAAGGTTCATTCTTGATTCCACATTTTTTTCGTTTAACAACAATTTTTATAAACAGAGTTACGGCACTCCTATGGGGTCCCCCTTATCACCTGTAATAGCGGACTTGGTGATGAGGAGACTTGAGACGGTGTCCTTGATGTCGTTGAACTTGGACGCAATATTTTATTTTAGATACGTGGATGATATTTGTACTGCGGTTGAACCATCAAGAATTGACTCAATAGTAGAACAATTTAACTCGTTCCATCCACGATTACAATTCACTTCTGAATTTGGGGGTGATGAAATTAATTTCCTGGATGTGACTATATCGATCATTGGAAACGGGTTTGGAGTTGATTGGTACCGTAAGCCGACCTTTTCAGGGAGGTTTTTGAATTTTTATTCTAACCACCCCATTGCACAAAAAAGAGGAACGATTTTTTCGCTGGTTGACAGAACAATTTTACTTTCGGACTTTCGATTTTACACACAAAATTTGACACTTATCATTAACATTTTATTAGACAATGACTACCCATTATCATTTATATTTGACACAATCAACCTACGAATTAAAAACTTGAATAGAAATAGACACATAACACAGAACAGTATGAATGACAAGGACGAAGCGAAGGAATCAGTGTCCTGGCTTACGGTTCCGTTCATCCCGCGCCACACAGAAAAGTTCAATCGGTTCAACAATAACGACATCAGGGTTTCTTTCCGTAGTCCGAACAAACTCAAAAAATACATTAAGGTACACAAAGATGTTCATCCACACACATCAAAGAACAACGTAGTGTACAAAATTTCTTGCAATGATTGTGACGCTACGTACGTGGGACAGACAGGCAGAAAACTAAAGACAAGGATTGCAGAACATCGCAATCACATTAAATACAACACGTCGGCACGATCGGTAATAACGGAGCATAGGAGACAACTCGACCACGAATTTAAATGGGAGGAGGTCGAAATCTTAGATGAAGAGCCCAGCTATCGGAGACGTTTAGTTTCAGAGATGATTAATATCAGGAAACAAAAGAATGGTATCAATTTGCAGACAGATACCGATGGCCTCCACAAAGCGTATATTCCAATCATAAATAGAGTTTGACTTTCGGTTACGAACAGCCCGTCTCCTCGCTCAGTCTGTGTTGATCCTCACTATTGAACGTACATGATAATCGATACATTATGTCTGTTTTACATATCTACGTTCCTTCTCTCTGTACATATTTCAAAAGTTTTTTAGTTCTTTTTGGACATATTAATTCAAACTTCTTACACATGATTTCCGGTGAGTTTTTATGAAATAATTTTTATGGATTTTGTTTGAATTTCGGTATTTTATATTATTTTATTTTATACGTATTTGTCCGTTACGTTTTTTGTTTTTAATTTATCCGTTTTATTAACTAGAACTTCAACAATGACAATTTTAATATTTTTGACTGTTCAACCATACGGAAGTTATGTTTCGAGATCAAGACTCACCCGAACTGTGATTATTCGGAATATACGAATACTTGCGACAATTGAATTTGTTCTGTTACTTTTCATTGTACTAATGTCTGAAGAGGGCTCAAACTGGTAGCCGAAACTTGTCATGTATTAGTTTATAGTCTTATTTTTTGGCGTGATGTTTCATCGCGTTTAATATAATATATAATTTTATGTAAAAATTAAAAAAATGTGGTTGACTCTTACTTCGCCCGTTGATTGAATTTTGTTATTATGATAAAAAAATGTTTTAAACATAATGGTCCGTATTCAGAATGCGCTTATAACGATGTTAGCGCACTAACATGCTATAATTTACGTTACTACAGAATATCAGAGATAAAAGTGTATTCTGAATACGGGTCAATGACTTCAGAACTACAAAAACTTTATTTACACCAATAAATGTTATTGTAAAAGCATCGAAGATAGGTATACTAGGCGGGTTCTAGTGGTTCTCTGAGAAGGGGAGCGGAGCGCGGGGGGTATCGGTAGACGCGGGAAGGTCCCTAATCACCAGTATTGCTGTTTATAAACAGTGATAACCAGGGTTCTATATTTACGTAAACACAGAACTTCGATCAATGAATTACATAAACATACCATATGCGTGATGACACTCCGCTATGCGTTCCGTATTTTTTTCGCCGTCGCCGCCGCCCGTCGCCGTTGCCGCGCCACCATCCCGGTGAGAATATGTACTTAGATTCCACGTGGATTCAACGTGGACTAGCACGTGGATTCTACGAGTGGCAGTTCATTCAAACACGATACCAAAATCCATGTGGAAATCGAATCTATATTTCTAATCGATTTTTCTTACAAGATTTCACATAATATCCATCTATATAACAATGAGAACAGATACGTGGAATTCACGTGGATTTTACGTGAATAATCGAGTGACAATCCGCTCAAATAATCCACGTGAAAGTCTAATATATATCTCTAATCAATTTTCTTCTGCGAGTTTCTACGTAATATCCACATATGTAAATATTTTACTGGATTTTCACGTGGATATAATTCATGAATACTTATATTAGTTTCCATTAATTAACGTGGATATCATATCGTTATACCGTGTAAATTTTTTTGAGTGAAATCTCTCTTCAAGAGTAAAAATTGAGCGTCTTTAAAAAGAATGAAAATATTCTCACTGTTGTTCAAGAGTGGAAGATTTTACTTTCTTATAATTAATTGGATCAAGATTTATATTTATTAATAAAATTCACTTTTTTTGACTCCAAAAGAGTAAATTTTACTCCAAAGAATTTCGAGAAAATCTTTTGGAGTAAAACTTTAAGAGAGTGAAAAATCTGCCACTTTTGAATAAGGTTGGATTTGTACTCTTTCAAGATATTAAATTTTCATTATTTAGGAGTAAAATTTCACTCCAAAAATGTAGAGAATAGTTACATAAATTATTAATATAAAAGTAACTTTATCTCTGTTTGTACATAAATTCAAATCTTCACATATATATATATATATATATATATATATATATATATATATTTATTTTTT